AAATTTTTATAAAAATTATAATTAATATAAATATTCATCAAAATACTAAAAATAGTATTAAACATTTGATTTTAAATAAATATATATAAATTATATTATATAATGCTAAAAATTAAAAATAAAGAAGTTATCTATAAAATATATCCTTAACATAGAATTATTAAAATAAATTGAAAATTGATTATATATATTAGAAAAGCATTTGATAAAAAAAACGACAAAAATTAATAAATATTTTTTTTATAATTTAATATAAATATTTTTATATAAATATATATATTAATTATTTATATCATTATTATTTTCTATTATAAATTAATTAGTAAAAAGATTAATATTAAAAAAATTAGTGCTTGTATAATGCTTGTAAAAATATTTTTATATTTATATTTATATTTATATTTATATTTATATATATATATATATATATATATAAATATTTTTTTAATATATATTTTTTATATCAATTTATATTTTATATTAGTATAAACTTTATTTTATATTATAAAATTTTTTATTAATATCTTTTAAATTTTGATTTTATAATTTTAATTTTAATTATATTATAATTATTTATTTATTAGTTTTTTCATTATTAATTATTTAATATATTCTTCTTTTTATTTATTTTTTATTTAGAGGAAAATATTTATTATATAAATATATTTTTAAAATAATATTAATTTATTATGTAAAGAATTGTAAAAAATTTTACTAAATGCAATTAATAGTTTTTTTCAACAATTTAAGATCCTTAATCATCAAGAATTAATATTTAAAATGCTATTAAGCCTCCCACTATATAAAGTTTTGAATTAGAACCATTTAAATTTAATTATGAAAGAGATTAATTAGCTTATGGATACACAATTGAAGAATTATATGGAAAAAAATATGGTCTGAAACATTCAGAAGTAATTAAAAAAGAAATGAGAAAAGATACAATATTATTATTAGTTGCATTAGTTTCAATTATGGCGTATGGATGGGTATAAAGAGATTATAGAATTAAATTAGATTAAGATTTTGAGGAATATATGAAATTCAAATAACCAATTAATAGAGGAATTCCTGATAATATAAAGTGAAATTAATTTAAATATAAATTAATAATAAGTTAAAAATTATAAAAAAAAAATTAAACAAATATTTTTTTTATTATAATTTTTTTATTTATGGAAAAATGATTTAAATATATTATAAATATTTATAATAATTTTTTTTTTTTTTTTTATATTTATTATTATTTTAAAAATCAAAAAATAAAATTAAAATTGAAATATATATATATATAAAGAAATTAATTTATTTAATATAAAATATGTAAAAAAAATAAGAAAAGATAAAAAATAATATAATATATATAAAAAATAAATATATATAAATATGATTTTATATATATTTTATAATTATATTTATATATAATTTTATAAATTAATAAATTATCAATTCAATTTATAAATAATTATTTATTTTTAATTTAAATAAAAATAAATAAAATAAAATCATAAATATATTTATAATAAAAATTAATCTAAATGGATTTAGCATAATAATAAAAATAATAAGAAGTTTATAAATAAAACTATTAAAAAAAAAAAAATTATAAATAAACATCATGTAAAAGCCATATACACAATTTATTAAAATTAAAAAGATAAAATTTTTAAAAAGAATTAACTAAGAAATAAGAATAATTATTTTCTGATGTTGAAAAAAAAATATTATAAAAAAAAAAAACAGTGAATAAAGCAAAGTTTAAATAATAGAATTATAAAAATAATAAGAATAAAAAATTAATAATATACTAAATAATAAATGGAATAAAAAAATATTAAACTAATAAAAATGAAAAATTTTAAATTAGCCAAATGCTCAATTAAATTAAAATAATATAAATTAAAATTTAAAAAATGTAAAATAAGAAAAAAAAAATATTAAGAAAATATTTAAAATTAATATTAAAATTTTAGTTAAAATATAAATAAAAATTAAATTTTAACTCAAAAATTAGCAAACTAATAATAAAATAAAAAAATTAATAGTTCTCATAAAAAACCTAAACATGAAATATTATTATAAGAATTATTATATTAAAAATAAAGTATATGTAATTAAACAATCAAAGATGAAAGATGTAAATTTGAAGCGTGTAAATTAAATATGAATAATATCCAGGTATATCTAAATTTAATAGAAAAAATTTAATATATGAAGAAAAAAAAATCAAATTGGATATAAAGAATTAACAGAATTAGAAAAAAGAAATCTAATATTCTTTAGCAGAATAAGAAACCTTAATTTAATCCGGAAATCTATTTAAAAATTAAGAAAATATTAATTGTGAAAAAATAAATAAATAATACAATACACATTAATAACTGAAGTATAGAAAAAGTGGATAAACAGTGATGAATTAAGTGAAAAAATAAGAGATTAAGGATTAAGAATAGAAGAATATGAAATTTTAGCTAGTTAAGTATATATTCATAAATAATAAATAAGAATTTGATGAATGTAATAAAACTAAAAAATTAGTTAAATAATACTAAGATGATAGTTATAATATTAAATAATTTGATTAATTACACCAAAATAAGTATAAAAATGCTATTTACCTAACTAAATTTGAGAAGAAAAAAAAATTACAAACTTTACGGATAAAGAATTTTAAAATATAATTAATAATTTTAATAAAAGTAATTAGTAATCTATTAAAGATAGATATACATATTAAGAATAGAAAAAAAAATTTCTAAATAATAGAAAAAGATTGAAGATATGATGAATGAAAAAATTAGAAAACTTGCTTTTAAAACTAAACCTTGTAAATTTGGATAAAAATATAATAAAAAAGAAAAATGCCAATTTATATTTAAAAAGATTTAAATAAAATAAATTAAAAAATAAAAATTTAAATTCTTTAATACAAAAAAAGGATTCAAAAAAAGTAAAGAATGTAAATTTTAAAACATTAAATTTATCCTAAAATAGAGGAAATAATAGAAAAAATAGAAAAAGAAGAAGATAAAAATATTTATCTAGAAAAAAATTTACAAAACAAAAATTTATAAAAAAGAAGAAGAAACTAAATGCCTATGGGATAAAAAAGAATGTAATAGAGATAACTGCATTTTTCTTCATATAAATAATAAATATAAATCTTATAACTAACAAATAGCTGATGAATATCTCAAAAAAAACAAAGAGAAAAAAAAAATTTTTAGAAAAAAAAAAAATTTTTAGAAAAAAAAAAAAATACTAATCTAAAAAAAAAAATTAAAAGGTTGTGGCTTAAAAAGCAGATATCAACGATAATGCAAGAAATCAAATATAAAAAAGTTGATCCAGCATATTGGGATGATAGGGTTATACAACCTATATCTACCAAAAAAAATAAAATTATAATTTTAATAATTCAATAATTCTTCAAAGACTACAAAATATTTAATAATAAAAAATTAATTAAATATATAATAAATAAATCATCAAAATAAATAATAAATAAAAAATAAAAACAATTATTAAATATAATAACTAAATTAAAATTTACAAAACATATAAATTATCAAATTAACTAAAGAAAAATAGATAAATAATATATTCAAATTTTTAAATAATTCTCAAAATACGTTAAAATAAATAATAAATCAATATTATTAATCGTAATAAAATATAATAAAATGAAGAAATAATTCCAAAAATATAATAATAGACATAAAAGTATAATAATATAGAAAATATATAGAAAGAAAATATAAAAAATTTAATAAAAACTTAATTAGAATTTCAATAAATATTAATATAAAAATAAAAAATAGGGTATTTTTAATAAAATTAATATTATATATACTAAAAAACTTAAAAATATTTGTAAATATTAATAACAATTAACAAAAAATATTAAAAAATGAAAATAAAAAATTAATAATATTCTAAAATAATAACATAATAATTATAAAGAATTTAATAAAATATAAAATAAAGAAATAATAAATTATATAGAATAATAAAAAATAAATTAAATAAATTGAAAAATATTAAAAAAAAAAAATACAAAAAAAAATAATAATAAAGAAATAAAAAATAAATTAATAAAAGGGTTATAGAATATAAGAAAAATTTCAAATTAATATAATGAATAAAAAGTAGAAAAAAATAATATTAAATAATAAATACTATAAGAACTAATTAATATAGAAATAAGATATATTAATAATCTTATAAATAAATATTAAAAAAAAAAAAAAAAAAAAATTTTTTAAAATATCTACTTTTTTTATTTTAATGATAATAAAAATTAGAAGATTTAAATGAAATAATAAAAAATATTGACATACAAAACACAGCAAATAACTTATTAAAAATTTAAAAGGAATAAAAATAAACAAAAAAATTAAAAATATATTAATTATGGTATGAAAAAAAAATGAAAGATTAAAAAATAAGTAATTAATAAAAAAATAAAAAATAACTAATAAATAAAAATTAATAAATTCTTACATAAAAAATAAAGATATAATTAATAAACTAAAAATTAAAAAAAAATTATATATATATATATATATATATATATATATATATTATATATATATTCATATATATTTATAATATTTTTAATTAGAAAACGTATTTATTCACATTTTATTTTATTATTCTTTCATAATTTTTATTATTTGTATTATTTATTATTTCTTATTAATAATTAATATCAATTTCTGAAAAATGTCCATCCACTTATTTAATTACTATCTTATTGTATATCATTTTGCAATACATTAGGATCAAATTTATTATTTATTCTTATTTTTCTATTAGATTTTGGCGGATTTAATTTTCTTTATTATCATATTTTTTTTTAATTTTAATTTTATATATATATAAAAAACCTATTATATGCATCTTCCCAACTTAGATCATTAAAAAAAGGATGAGCTTTTATTTCTTAAGCATCTCCTTTTCCTGAACCAAGTCTTTTAGCAGGATTTCTTTATAATAACTAAAACAAATATAATTAAAAAAATAATATTATTTTTAAAAATTTACTGATTTTAAAAGCGATCTAGCTTCTTAACTTAAATATGAAGGTATTTTTAAAGGAGCTTTTTATATATTTTCAAATAATTCTTCTCTATTCATAATAAAATATTATATAATCAAAAATAAAATAATAATCCTATTATTTAATATATAAATAATATAATAAACCTATTATTGGCATAATAAGGAGGAACCCCAACTAATAATTCATACATAATAACTCCTAACAGATACCAATCAACAGCTTTTCCATGCCCACATTTTTTGATCATTTCTGGTGCTAAATAAGCCACAGACCCACAAAATGATTTTGCTCCAGTAATATGTTCAAGGACTCCTTCTTTAGAAAGACCGAAATCAGTTAATTTAATATGCCCTTCATAATCAAGGACTACATTATCAGGTTTAAGGTCTCTGAAAATAATATCTCTTTAATGAAGATTTTCTAATGCTAGAATTATTTCAGCTAAATATATTTTTACAACTGGTTCAGGAATTTTCTTTTCTTTTTAAAGAAGTTCACCTAAATCACCTCCTGGACAGTAATCCATAATTAAAAAGAGACGATCATTTGTTTAAAAAGCATAATTTAGTTTTACTAAAAAGGGATGGTTTGATAAAGACATTACATTTCTTTCAGTCAATGCATATTTTATTAAGTTGTTTCCTTTTTTTTTTATTTGATTTTTTGCTGTTATATTTTTATTTTTATTTTTTTTACTTTAAACATGAGATTTTAACAATACTTTCATTGCAAATAAATTCATACTTCCTTTCTTTTCAACTAAATATACTTCTCCAAATGAGCCTTTTCCTATTAAACCATGTATATAGAAATTCTAAGGACCTACTTTTTCTTCTTCTGTCCCAAAAGAACTCTTTGATTCATCTGATGTACTTGTTTTTTCATTAATTGAACTTTTATTATCATTTTCTATGCTATTTATTTTCTTCTTTTTTTCATTTAAATTAATAAATATATGCATAATATTATTTTTTACTTTGACTTATATTAATTCTTATGGTTATAAATTTTATTATTAAATTTATTAATTTTATAAAAATTAATATGAATTTTATTATTATAGTTATAAATTTTATTATTATAATTACATAGTTAACTATTACATTTATTAATTTTATTATTTTATTTATTAGTTTGATTATGATAATTATTAATTTTGTTAATATTAAAGTTACTAATTTTATGACAAATATTATTAATTCTATAACTACATTTATTATTCAGGAATTTAATGAATTATTAATTTTTGTTAGTTTTAAAATTAATTAATTTAAGAATAGAAAAACGTTTCGAAAATTTTTTAAATACTTTAATTAGATGCTAATTAATAAGCATCTTAATTTTATTTATTTTTTTTTTAAATATTTAAAGAAGATTTTTTCAATAGTAATTCAATAAGTTTTTTATGTCCATTCATTGAGGCATAATGAATGGCTCCATTCTAATATTCATCGAATTAATTTATCTCTGCTCCTGCATTTAATAAGAGCTGTACGATTTCATCATATCCTCTATATTATTATTTTTATTTTATATATATGAAATTTCTTTATTTACTGTTTTGCTGCTAATATTAATGGAGTTTATAGATTTATGTTTTGAGGATCTATTATTGCTTCATAATATAATAATAATGAGACAAATTCTGTATTTCCGTTTAATGAAGCATAATGTAGAGCCGTATTTAAATCTTCATCTACTGAATTTATATCTGATTAAATTTCATTGTTTATTTTATCTAATAGTTATAGGCATTGTTAAAAGTTATTTATTTTGGCCATAAAAACGAATTCTTGATTTTTACTTTGTTATAAATTACTTTTAGTATGTAAAAAAAATATATATATTTGTTGTATTCTTTTGTTTATATTACTATTTTTAAATGGTTATATCTTCTATTTTAATTTCTGTTTACTTTTATATATGTTATTTTTATTCTTGAAGTTTTTTTGCAAATAATTATTATGTCTTAGATTAAGAAATATTTGTTTATTATATTGTATTATTTGGAGATACATTTCTGCTAAAGTTTGGCGATTAATTCTATTTTGATATATTATTTTTATTATCGTTATAAATTTAACTTTGAATTTATTTTTCTTTTTTTTATTTATAAATTAATATATTTTATATTTTTTTTAAAAACAATAAAAAACCTATATTATCTGTTTTATATATATCATGAATAATGTTTTATAAAAAAATATTCTTAGCCCCAATTTGTTTAGATAACCCATTATCATATATACTACTTTTATCTTCCTAATTAGATATATTAGAACTTCTATTATCAAACTGTCTTGGAGATTTGGAAAGTAAGTTAGCTGAAATATTTAAAGGTTTAACAATAGGTTAATAATCAAAAATCTTATTATTTTCTAAAAAAATAAATGATAAAAAATTATTATTTTTTATTTTACTTATAGGATTAGATTATTTTTATCTAAGCTAATCATTACAAGATTTATTTATATTATTTACTTTTAATTAGGATATTTTCAATTATTAATTTTATTATAATTAGTTAATTTCTTATGTTTAATTGTTACTCAATTTTTATGATTACAATAATTCTATTAATTGTTTCTTTTCGGGAATTTAATTATGGTTATTATTTAGTTATTATTTAATTTCTTATCTATTTATTGGCGAATAGCTCAATTTATTATTTATATTACTAGTGTTATTACTATTATATTAATACTTTTTATAGCTATTTAAATTGTTAGAACTTCTTGATGATAAAAGTTCATTTTGATTGGTAGTATTTAATATATATGTACGAGATGTGCTCTTTTAATCGTTATTTGGTATATGCTTCTATGCTTAATTTTAAAATATATTCTTGCTGTATATGTTTTGAGATACATGATTTTTGTTGCTTGGTGTTTGATTATTTTATATTTATTTGCTTTAAAAATTATATGAATTCTAATATATTTCATATTGTTAATTATTTATTCTTAAATCAAATTTTCCGATATTATCAAACATACTTTTTTTTTTTTTTTTCCTTTTTTTTTTTTACAAAAATAATTATTTTATTTTTAAATCACTTAAATTATTTATTTTATTAATAAAAAACAATTGAATTTATTTATATTTTTAATATATACTATAATATATTAATTTACATATATTCTTAAAATTATTAAAAGTTCTAATTAATCTTTTTTTTTTTCAAAAATATGAAATTTAATTTTTCTTTATTCTTTTAAAATTTCTTATTTTCTTCTAAAAGATTAATATAATTATTAATTTATTTATATATTTTTTTATATAATTATTTCATAAAAACATAATTAAACAAAAAAATGAAGTTATCCATTTTTTCTCTCTATTTTGTTGTTGTTGATTGAGCATTATTTTTTTAAAAAAAAAATCTGAACTTGAAATATATAAATACAATTTAAAAAAAGCAGAAAATATTTTTATTTAATAGTTTTTAATTTGGAAATAAATAATTCCTATGTTTTATTCGAAATTATATTTTAAATTTTAGTCAATAAAAATATTATAAGTTTAATATTCGATATTTTAGTATTTAATATTTAAATTTTATTAATTTATTAAAATGATTATTATTGTATTATATATTTTATTAAAAAAATAAAAATAAATTTATTTTTAAAGTTTTCTTATATTAAATAAAAATTATAATAATAAAATTTTATAAAATATTAATTATATTTTTTTAATTCAAAAATATAATTATTCTTCAATAAATACTTCTAATTTCCATCTTTTTGATTTACAAATAATAATCTTAACTAAATAAATTTTATTAACTTCCGCTTTTAAATACATTTAGCCTTTCTAAATCCACAATTTTCTTTTCCTATTAGCCGTCATATTCAACTTCAATCTATATTTTTTTTTCTATGAAATTTTTTTAATAATCAATAAAAACCTCATCCTAATTTTAAACAGTATAAAAATATTTAATAATAGAATTAGATGGGCACATTTTAATAACTTAAAATTTATTTTAAGCTACTTATTAAAGTTAAATTCCTTTATAATTCCCAAATTCAACATGTAATTAGACTTTTTAACCTACATAATCATCATGAAACATTCCAAGATCAAAATTAAATTCAACTTAAACCCATCCAGAGCAAATCCAGCAAGTATCAAAAGAAGAGAATTTATTTTTAATAAATTGAACGCCTTAAATAGAATGAAAAGTGTGTCTGTTTTTTTCCAAAATTTTCTCATTTTCTTAAATAAACCCATTTTCATCAACAAAAAAATTTTGGTTGCCTTCAAAATGAAATCCATATAAAGTATTATTGAGTTTTAAGCTTTTTTATATTTTTTAAGTTTCATTATAATTAAGTCCACAATTACTAATATCTAAATGTATCAAACATTAGTTATTTTCTAATGTTTAACCAATTACATTTCCTATACATTCGTTTTTGGTAAGCTTTTAAAATATTTATGTACCTATATTATTATAACTTAAATCGAAAACTTTTAATTTATTATTCTTTGTTAAACTATCGAATATTTATATTCCACCTTCGTTTTATATTAGGTTATATTTTAAATATAATTCGGTCAAATTTCGATTATTTTATATATATTCACTTATTTAATTTGAAGATAAATCAGTTATTTAGTTTTATGATAAATTTAAAATTCTCAAATTTGTGTTTTGTTCTAAAGATTTAAAAAGTTCTATTATACCTTAATTTTTTATTTTATTATTTTCAAGATTTAAATTAATTAATCTATTTAAAAAAAAAATAATAAAATATATATTTATAAATAATTTAAATATAAAATTTGATATTCTGCTTATTTACTTGAATGTGTTTTCATTTTATAAGATTGTTTTAGATATTTATATTGCGCCTTTGTTTTATATATTATTTTATTTTAATATTAATTATTCAATTTTATTTGGAAGATTTTTTAGAATTTTATCTAATATTTCATCATTTATATGATTATTTGTGGCAGATAATATATTCAAACTGTTTTTATAATGCTTAGTGTTTATTGCTTTTATTAAATAGTCAAATTTTAATTCTGTCAGCTTGAAGTTATCTATTATTATTTGTTTAAAATTATTGTTATTTTTCAAAAAATTAAATCTTAAAGGGGGAATATTCATTTAATTAGCATTTTCTAATAAGTCAACTAAAAAATTATTTTATATGCCATAAAACTAATTAATTTCCTTTATTTTATGGAAATATCTATATTATTTAATGTATTAAATATCAATATTTTCTTAATCAGGAATAAAATATTGAGAAAAGTTTTTTTTTTAGGCTATTAAAGAGTTTTTTCTTATATATTTTTTTAAGAATAAATATTTTAATTATCAATTTTTTAAAGATATTAATTATGTTCTTATAACAAGCTTGGAGTTTTTTATAAAGGAAAAAAATTATCCTTTATTTTAAAATTTAATTGATTTTGTTAAACTTTATTTTTGTTTATTATTTTATCGATATTATTTTAGGACAATGTATTTCTATTTGAAGATGGTAAATTTAATATTGAAACATTATTTGAATTATTTTGACTTTTATATTATTTTTAAATTGAAATTTAGTATTTTATTTAATGATCTTTTAATTATACTTCTTATTTAGTTATTGGCATCAATTTATTTTTGTTTCTTTTTTAAAAAATATTATTTTTTTATTATTTATATATTTATACATTTCTACAATTAAGTTTTGTTAAAAATTCATTTTATTTTATAATTTTATTTATAATTTAGAATTAACTTTAATATATATTTATTTCTTTTTTTAAATTTATTAATAAAAATTAAAATAAATTAAAATAATTTTATTTATTGTAGATTAAAATATATATAAAAATGGAAATAAAAATTTATATATTTATTTATTATAAAATTGAATTTATTATTTATTTATAATTGTTAAATAATAATCATTCTGAAATTAAATCTTTAATTGTATATTTTCTTCTAACCCCTAAAGTAGTTTATGGTCTATTATTATATGTATAAATAATCTTTTATTAAGGGATATAAGATTAATTTTTATTTTCCTTTTTTTGCTTCGGGCTTTAATCACAAGTAATCCTTTCATAATTTAATGCTTTAATTAGTATTTTTAAATAATTATATATGTTTTATTACCTTCTTCATTAATGAAGTCTCTGTGTACATTATCTATTCTAAAAAAGAATATATTTGAATCATTTTCTTATTAAATTATTTATTCTTTTTTTTTTATTAAAAAAATAAATTAAAAAAAAGTATAAATTTATTTAAATATATATTTAATCTTTTTTGAATTACCTTTGTTTGTAATATTAATTTTAACGTCTTATATCATATTATTATTCATTTTTCCTATATTATTTTTTATAAAATTATTAACTATTGATTTATGAGATGTTGAAACAGGAGCAAAAGGATTATTAAAAGCACCAGATGAAAAATTACCTTATTGTTGTTGTTATTGTTATTGTTATTAATTATTTAAATTTGATGGTAAATTATTATCCTTTATCATTTTTGAAAAAGGATAAGCAGATTAAGGCCTTTCGTTTATATTTTTAACAGGATTAAACTTATTTTCTTATTTTTTTTAATCAGAAATTTGTAGTTTATTATCTTTATTTAAAATATTTTTTTCTAGTATAAAATCTTAGCTTTTTTTTAATTATTATTAAGATTTTTACTTTTAATCATTATTTTCATTATAATTAAAACATTTAATTCCTTAAGATTGCTTATTTTTTTAAATATTAATTAAGTTTTTATTCAAATCATTAATAAAAACGTGTTTATTTTATTAGGCTGAAAATGGTCGATTTTGCAAAAAGTTTAAATTAACATCAGTTTAAACTTTATTTAAATTAAAGTAACCTAAAAGAGGATTTAATATTTTAATTTAATTTTATAATTATTATTATTATTATTATTATTATTATTATTATTATTATTATTATTATTATTTTTATATTTATTGTTTTTTACCATTTATTTAATCTTTTAGAATTAATATTTGATCCTAACTTTTTTATTCATATATATGTTTTGTTTTTTTATTTTATATATTTTTGTTTTCTTGAATATTTATTTTTTCTTCTTTTTTAATTTTTTAGTTATCTTAATTATTCTTTTATATTTCTTTAATTTCTTTTGATATTTCTTCTTTTGTATTTTAATTTTCCTCATTATTTTTTTAATTTTCTTAATAAATTATTTAGTTTTCTTAAAATTACTTTTGATTTTATTAAAATATTTTTAAATTTTTTTATGAATTTAATTGTTCACTATTATTTTTAATTTTATTTTTATAATATTATTTATTATTTTTCATTTCATTGCTTAAATTTTATTTTTATAGAACTTTTTAATTATCTTAAATAGAAGACTTATTATTCATTTTTTATTCTGAAAAAATATTAATCAAATTTTTTTCTTCATTATTTTTAAATATATTTTAAACCGAATTTTTTTGAATTTGTTACAAAAGATCATCTTCATCTTCAAAATTTTCATTTTTTCTTATTACATTTTATTAATTATTTGTTGATTATTTAGAATTTAAAATATCGCTATTATTATTGATTTATTATTTTTCTTCTGTGGTATTATTAGTCATTAAAATCATTCTTTTTTTATTGAATTTAATATTATCTCTTTTTTAAGCTTAATATTTTTTTTTAAATTAAACTTATGATTATTGTTTATTTTCATCAATTTTTTATTATTCAATTTTCAAAGCATTTTCTAATTATAATTTTCTGCTGAAATTTATATTACTCGTTTATGGCCTTTTTTATTAATTAATTTTTTCTTGTAAAATTCTTATTTCTTTATTTTCTTCTACTGGTTATTAAGGAATTATTATTTTTGATTCTTATTGTATATTATTTTTTTCTTAATCTTCTTATAAAATTTCTTCAACCATTACCTTTTTTTTTTCTTCTATTTAGTTTAATTTTTGATAATTTATTTTGTCAAATACATCAACCCTATCTGTATTCAAATATGAATATTTTTTTTATATTTGCTCTTATGATCCTACATGTTATCTTTTTTGTATCATCTCTAATAATTCACATGCTCTTGGTCTTAATGTTGGATTTTTTTCTAACATTTTATTTATAAAACTTTATAAAGAAGAAGAATAATTGCTTGATAAAGGCTTTGGAAATTTATTTACTATACTATATCCTAATGCTATTAAATTTTCTCCTTAAAACGGTGGTTCTAATGCTTTTTATATAATCAAAATAATACATATTTCTTTTATTATTTATTTATTTTACCACTTATATGATATAATACTACACCTATTGCCCATATATCAACCTTTTTATATATTAAGTTTTATTTGTTATATGGTTTTTTTTTTTTTTGCTACTTTCAAATCGTAAGGTTACTATTTTACTAACTCCGGAGAAAGGTATAAAGGAGTTCCTACCCTTGTTCCTTGCAAAGCAGCTTAACTTGAAATAATTTTTGACACACCTAAATCTCCTAACTTATTTATAATTTAGTTTGTTTTTTTTTGTTAAAAAAAAAAAAGTTTTAATAAGTCAGTTTTAATTTTTTTACTTTAATTTTATTATCTTTAGTTAAAAATATGTTTAAAGTTTTTATATCTCTATGAATAATATTATTTCTATGTAAATAATCAACTGCTTTTATTAAATCTTAAGCAAATTCCCAAATTTATGACTCACTAAAACATTTCTTTTTTTCTCTTTTATCTCTTAAAAGCTTTTTAAAAAATTATATTTATTTAATAAAAAAATTACTTACTTATTGAAGATCACCTCCATCAGCATATTCCATAACAATATATAAACAATAATTTTCAACAAAAGAAGTATAATACCTAATAATATTATCATTTTTAACTTTTCTTAAAATTTAAGCTTCCTTTAAGGCTTCAGTTTAATGCTTTTATTTCATGTGTTTAATATTAATTTTTTTGAGTACATATTCTTTTTTATTTATATTAGAAAAAACTTTATAAACAACTCCATAAGAGCCTCTTCCTAATTCTTTTATTATTGTAAAGTCAGTTGTGGATGAACCTATTAGCTTTTTATTTTCTTCCATTTACAATTTTTCTTAATTTATATCATTTTAATTAAGTATTTTTAACTTTTCTAATTCAATTGTATTTTTTAATTAAGCAATAGACATTTTATTTTCTTTTACGAATATAATTTTATAATATATTAAAATAAGGTTTTGTTTCAAAAAATAATTTTTATTTAGTTTTATATATATTTAAATTATAAAACAATATATTATATTAACTAATTTTTTTATATTTTAATGATTTATAAAAAATTAGTTTTTTTAAAAAAAGCTATAATTTAAAGTTAAAATAATTTAAATTTTTCTTTTATTATGTTAATATATTACTTATTAATTATTGGTAACATTTATTTGTTTAAATATATATTATTATTAGAATTTTTTGTTTGAGAAATATATCATAAATAAAAAATTAATTCATTCATAATAAAAAAATAATTATTAAATTAGAATAATTAATTAATTAATTTGACAAATTAAGTTTGAACATAATATATTATTTTTTATAAATTTAAAATAAATAAGTTTATTTAATTAAATCATATAATAGTATTTTAAAATTAATAAACTAATTAGTTTTATATTTACTAATATTTAAGCAATATTTTTATTTTTATTATATTAATTTATCTTTAAATATTTTTTAATACTACCTTTATATTTATTTACAATTATTAATTGATGTTATTTATAAAATATCTCTATGTAATAATATTAAAAATAATTTTTAAATATATTATATCATTTATTTTAAAACAAATATTAAAGTCATTTATTCTTTTAAAATTTTGAGAAAAATACTGAATAAATAATAAATATATTTTTTATTTAAATTAATTATTATAATAATTTATTTTTTTCAAAAAAATTAATTTTTTATAAAATAAAACTTATATATTAAAAATATTTAAGTTAATAAATATATATATATATATATATTTAAACAAAATAAACTAAATTAATGTACGGTTCACCTAAATCAAACATTCAAACAAGTTTTTCAGATTTTAAATAAACATAATAAAATGTATTTGTTTTAAATCATGTTGCTTAACGAGTAATTTTTTAAAAATATAATTAACTATATGAATATGTGGTAGGAAAATTAATGGAATAATAGAATTATAAAAAAACAAATGACTCCAATTTATTATAAATATATTGATCAATAGATAGGTTTTTTATTTGAATTAAATTTAATTTTTAACCAAAAATAATTTATATTATATAGAATTATAAGAATAGATATAATAAAATATACAGAGATAAAAAAATAGTAAAAGTCTTCCAAAGTTAAATTTAAACAAAGAAATACAAAATTATTTATTATTTATATTAATATTGTTTTTAAATTAAAACAAAGCTTTAGGATAAAACAAAAACCAATTTCAGGAAAAATAAACTATACACAAGAATAACGTTATTTTTTAAAACAAATCAATTATATATTAATTAATAAAATTTAGTTTAAGCTTTTGATATAAGAAGACAAGTAATAAAATAAATGAATCCTTAAAAATCAAATATTGAGCTTATGCATATGAATTAATACGTGCAAAAAAAGCATTTATTGAACTAATTTGAGTCACTAAAAAAAGAATGGGCTTTACATGATATTCCTTTACATCATAAGTATTTGAATAAATAAATATTTTATATAAGACTTTTTAAAAAATTAGAGAAGCTTTTACTTAAGTAATTAAAAATATACCTAGAGATATGTGTTAAAGTTTAATCGAAAAAGAACTCTAGAAAATAAGAAACAAAGTGAGTTTAATTTAAATATGTGAAAAATCTATTGAAGAACGGGAAAAATGCTTAAAATAATTATATTTAGAAGTCAATAAAACATAATAAATTAATAATTAGAAATAAATATAAGAACTAATAGAAAATGTAAAAAAAAAAAAAAAATTATATTTTTTTTATTCTATTTTTTTTTAAAAATAAAGATTTCCTAATTATTAATTCATATAAGGGTTTTGACATTAATCTCAGTTGAAAACATATTTAAATGGAAAGATTATTTAGCATTTTATATAAGTAAACTAGTAGATAAATAATAATAATCGTTTTCTATATAATATTTATATAAACAAGATAATTATTTAATAAAGGTTTAAAATTAATTTATTTATAAACAATATACTATTAAAACAAATAGGTTCTTAGTGATATTCATGAATATTAATTTTACAATTAAATATAAACATATTTTAACTTTTCTGATTAAATCGATCCTTTTTTATTAAATTTAACTTTATAAGATTATAAAAATCCAAAAAAAATAACCCATTTTGTATCCAAAATTATCGCTTCCAGAATATTTTAATGTCAAAAAAGACTCGAAAATGAATTAAAATATTTAGAGGATGAAGAAAAATTACAAAAATTATAATTATATAATGGAAATACATCATCATAATAGTAACTTAAAAAAAAAAATATTTAAAAAAAAAAAAAAAAAAGTAATCCTAATACAAGCTTATTAAAATTAAGAAATATATAAAATCGAACAAAAGCAACAAATAGTTTAAACAGTACATGTAAGTAATAAAAACTAATTTCTGATAGAAACCATAAAGGAAGCAATAATTAAAAATTCAATGTTTTAATTTAATCTAGTCCTAAAAGCATGCGTCCAAACAAACGAGAATTTCCAGAGATAACAATTCAACCATGTAATTTGAACGAGGAGGATCTTGAATAATATCTGAGCAATTATTTCAAACAATTTCAAAAAGAATAAAATAAATACTAATCTTTATTAAATAGTTTTCCATTTGATTCTTATGAAATAATGCAGGAAATAAAAAAATAATAAGAGTTAAATATATTTTTTATTTCTTTTAGAGATTACTAATCTATTAATGGATTATTGATAACATATGTGGACAAATATGACTTTTCTGAAAGGAAAGTAATTATTAGTCATATAAGTGTTTATGGATTATTATTGGAAAAATAATAATCTTTATTTGAAAAAGCTTTAGATTATTGCAAAAACTATATTTTAGAAAATGATAATTGCATAGAAGTATAAATATCAGTTGTGACATTTGAAAAAGATGATATTATGTTTGGAGTTAATGAATTAATTGAAAATATAGTGTATAATTGTAAATTTGATCAAATAAAATTTTAAGATGATTATGATACATAGATTTATAGTATATTTATTTTTATTATATATATATATATATATATATATATATATATATATATATATATATATATATTATCTTATTATATATATTATTTATATTTATATACAATATTTATTAATATATAATATATTTTCATTTAATAATTTTTATATAGAATTTTAAAGGCCATTAGATTTTCCTAAAAAACAAATTCTTTAATAAGTTGAACCAATATTTTTTGAATGTTAATCCTGCATTTGTTTATTCGATGAAAACATTAATAATTAAATATAAGGTAAAATTAATTTTTTGAAAAATATGTATTTTTTTAACGAAATATATTTTTTTTTTGCAAAAGATGTTGGTATAGTTAACAACGGAATTAATAATATAGCTATTTTAGTGAATTATCAAAAATTAATAATAATTAATTTTAAGAAACCGAAATACAATAGATAAATAATTTTATAGAAAATTATAATATGATAGATATATTGAGCGATATTAAATTTTATAAATTAAAAGATTCTAATGAGCTAAAAGAACTACTTAGCTAGTCTAATAGTTTATTTGATTATTCTGATTAATTATAAAATAATTAAAATGTAATAAATAAATAAAAAATTAGTAAAATATTATTTTAATAGATCTTTTATTCTAATTTAGAATAATATTTTAGATGGAATTCTGCTTAGTCACTAAATATTTAAAATAAAAATTTTGTTAGAATAAATTAAGTATTTTTTTTATCTTTATAAATAAATGGAATTTATTTTTTAGGTTGATGGATATTCTTCTATTTATTATTTTAATTGTGAATATAATAATTATCCTTTATATTTTATTGAAACTCATCATAAAAGCACCTATTTCTTTATTTAATAATTAGGTTTTAAAATTATATTTTAAATTATTTTTATTTATATAAATAGATTAAAACTAATAAAATTTTAACTTTGATAACGTTTGTTAATTTTTGGGATAATAAAAATAAAGTGATATAAAAGAAAACCGATTAGATGAATAAAAAAGTTTAGTTTTACCTTAATTTTCAATAAAATAAAGAAGATAAAAATAAGTCTATGATAATTACATTATGTATGAATAATTAATTTTCTCTAATGATTTTGAAAAATAAATATAAACATTTGTTCCTCGATAATATAATAATTAAACTGATATTTTAATTAATAATATAATTTTATTTGGTTTTATTTTTAAATAGATTTTATTTAATATTTTTATTTATTTTAAAGGGATGTTGAATGTAGAGATTTCAGAAGAGTTAAATACCATTATTTTTGCTACTGTTTATAAATAATGAATTATATATATATATATATTTATATATATATATATATATATTATTTTTGGATATTTTTAATTATATTAAATTCTTAAATTCTTTTGATTTTATATTATTATAAAATTGATATTTATTAAAATTTTTCATAAATATTTTTATACTTTAATTTCTAATAATGATTTTTTTTTGATTTTTTTAAAAAAAATTAATTAAAAAATTGAAATATATTAAATCAAATAATATATGCCTTTTAAAAATATTATTATATATTAATAAATTAAAAAATTATTTTTAATAAAAATTTTATTATTAAAAATAATAAAAAATAACCTAAATTAAAATAAAAACTCACGTTAGAAACAAATGGGATGTTGTTTAGCTCGTTATGAATTAGAAAAGGGGAAAAAGCTAAAGTAGTAATACGAATTAACTACAAAAGATAAACTTAAAACCTTGACTAAATTTGCAAGAGAAGATCTAAATTAAAAAGAAAATGATGAATTTTATAGTCCTTTGACTACTTTAAATTAAATCGAAGAATCTCAAATAATATAAAAATCAGATATATAAAGGAAATAAGATATTTTAAAAAGTAAAAAGAATAAAGTAGCAATTCACATTTTGAATTAAAATACTTTAATAATATCTAAAAATAATCGATTAAACATTCCTTAATTTTTAAAAGAAGCTGAAGAAGCATTATTTGAATATAAAAAATAAAAGGAGACAGAAGATCAGAATTTATATTAATGGGATTATGTAGATATAGAGTAAAAAAAAATTTAAAAAAAATTTAAAAAAAAATTATATTTAAAGGAATCAAATTCCTCAAAAATATTAAGAAAAATTTATGGAATTAAGAAACACTTTTAGATAGAAAAGTCTAAATATAAGTGAATTATACATATTTAGATTTTATAAAAGTACAGATTTTAATTATTCATAAACATATAAACTTTTAAATAAAAATATATAATGGAGAATACAAAATAATATTGATTTTATCTTCGAAGAGTGTTTTTCAGAAGTAAATTAAATTAAAAAGATGAGTCCACATGGATTGCACTTTGTCGATTTTGAAGGAAAACCTTTGTTTTTTTGGAAAGCTAAACATTTTTAATTTGAAAAATTAATTAATATTTTCAAAAATAAAAAAAGACTTATTTAATATATAGCCTCATATTTAGAAAGAATACTATTAAATGTTTTTTAATTATGTAGTATTTATTAAAAACGCTAAATTCATAAACTCACATTTGTTATTGATTTTAAAAATTGTAAAGGAAAAATGAATGATTTTGAATAACTGTTTGCAATTTTTATAGAAATCGGGTATTTTCATTATCCAGAAATTCTTGAGAATATATTCCTTTTAAATTAAGATTATATAAAAGATTTAAATTTGAGAAAAATTAATAAATTGATACCCAAAAAAATTTAAAGTGCTCAAAAAATACAAATTTTAGGAGATAATTTTATTAATAAATTAACCTAATAAGTATATAAATATATATATATATATATATATATATATATATATATATATTAATCTCCATTAAAAATTAATAATCTAATTATATATAAACTAATAGATTCCTATTGAAAGCATACCAAAATTTCTAGGTGGAAAATGTCAATGTAATGAAAAATATTGCATGAATAACGATTTAGGTCCATATTGAAGAAAAATATAAATAAAAAACCTAAATTTAATTATACTTGGATCATATTGCTTTTTTTTTTAAAAAAAAAAATTCAAGCAATTAAAAAAAAAAACTACTATCTATATTTTCTCTTTTTTTTATATTTTTTTTTTTTTTAAGTTTTTAAAAATAAATTACAAGAAAAAATAAAAATAACAAATAATATATAAAATAAATATAAAAATTCAATTTATTTTCATTATTTATATTAAGGATTAAGCAAATATTAAGGCCTTAAAATATCTTAGTGATAATTAAGAGTATCAACAACAGTTCTTTAGATATTAGATTAAAGACAAACACATAATTTTTCATATTCAGTTTTGACTCTAGTATTTTGAGTTTCTTAGTGTCTTATTGCTCTTTCTAAATCTACAATTCTTTAATGAATAATTTCTTAGGAATCTTTGAATAGTCTACTTTCATTCTAATGAAGAAAATTAAGATGATCAACTTATTCTTTATGCTCGTCTTTCTAAAATTAAGAATTTCTCTAAGTTTCGCTAAGAATTTATTCGTAATAAAATATTTCATTATCTTTTAAAAGATGCTCTGTTTTATATTATTCAATAAGTATATTACTAATTGAAATTTAATTATGGTTTTCATTGATTTTTTGGCGAGTTTCTGCTACATCTTTTTCTAAATTCAATATTTATTTATGGAGTTATCCTTCTTTTTTTTCAATGTCTTTAAGAATTTCTTCATTCTTTCTTTGAATGCTATTTTTTTCTTCATTGAGGGATTAAATTGTATTATTTAATTATAAAATCGGCATTGCTTACTTTCTTTAATTCTCATCAATAATTTTATACTTTAAATTCGTTAATTAGTCATCATGGGACATCCTCATTTTCAAAATAACTTCTTTAAATTAATTTATCTTTTCCCTTATGTCATAATTTAAATTTTTTAAAAATATATATCTCTCATCTATTGCTTAATATCTTGAAGTCCAATCTCTTATTAGTTCTTTCACGTTTTTTTCATGTACTTATTTTATGTATTCTAATTCTTCTATTTATCCTCTTTCCATACCTTGAATTTGCTTATTATCCATTTGTATTTGTATTTACATATCTTCTATTTTCTAAGAATAACTAACTTATAAATTTTATAAATCAACTTTTACATTTTCTAATTCATTCCTTAAATGGGAATTTTCATTCCATAAATTTGTATATTCTAATTATTATGATTGTATATTAGATTCTTTAGATAATACTTAATCTCTTAGTTTTAATAAAGTTTATTCTAATTCGTCTCTTATTTATTTTTCTTCTTGAAGTTCATTTTCTATTCTTTCTTTCATTTCGAATACTCTTTGTTTCTCATAAACTAAATTTTTGTTTTATTTTTGTTTTATTTTGTTTTATTTTTTATTTACTTAACATTTTTTCCATATTTGCCATTGATTATTATTGTTAGTTGTGGTTCTATATTTATTAAGTTTTTTATAAATTAATTGATTAATTTGTTGTGTTTTTTAAAGGGAAATTAACTTCCCTTTTTTAATTATTTATGTTTTCTTCTATTCTAATAAATTGATTTGAAATATTTGAACTTTTTTGTTTTGTTTTAATTTTTTTTTTTTTATTTTTTTACGTTCTATTTCTATTCAAAATTCGATTTATTTCAGATATCATTTATTCTGGTATCTTATTACAAGATAAATCTAAATTCTTTATCGTAGTATTTTTCTCCAATCCTTCTAAAAGCATTTCTGCTCCTTTTGCACCTATTTCATTCCACTTCAAATCCAAAGAAAGAAGGCTTTTATTTCTTTCTAGTGTTTTTGATATAATATAAGCTCCGTCTGCATTTATATTATTATTCTTTAAGTCAACTAGGATTATACTTCCATTGTACTCCAATAATTTTCCTAAAGATTCTAAACCTTCTAAAGATTCTTCTCCAATATTATTCCATTCTAAATATATTTCTTTTAAATTTTTGCAGTTTTAGAAAGCGCTGCATATAATGGAAAAACATTTTGAATTTATATTGTTTCCTTTTAATTCGATTGTTTAAAAATATGAATTTTATTCCAAAAATTCGATTAATATTTGACATGTTTATTCATTCAAAATAAAATCATTCAAAATCAAACTTTACTATTTTTCTTGTTCTTATAGTTTAGCTTTTAATCTATTTACTTTTTTTATTTTTTATTTTTTGTTTTATTTTGTTTTATATTTTTACAGTTTTAATTCATTTTTTTTTTTAAATAATTTGTATTTTTGATTTAAAATAAATTTATTTTTAAATTGTTTTATTTTATTTTATTTTTAAAATTTTTATATAATTAATTATGTTTAAAACTAAATATTATATTGCTATTAATAAAAAAATAAAATAAAGAAAAAATAGTTTTGGAATTAGAAATAATACAAAAGGTAAGAACTAAACTTATTTTTATTTGATTTACTACTTTCTTCAATATTTGTTTTTTTAAACTATTTTTATACAGTAAGCGTATTTTAAAATAAATAAAAAAAATAAAAAAAATTAATTCAACTTTTAAATTTATTATCATAAATTAATTGTTTTATTTAAACTATTTGTTTTAATCATCTATTTATAGATATTTAGCTTTTAATGGTTATTTTTTGTACTTAATGCTACCACTTAGTGTTATTTTGTTCATAAATAAATATAAATTAATTTATAAATTAAAAAATAAATTTTATTTAAATAAGGTTTATTTATAAAATAATTTTTATTCTAATTCTAAATAATATAAAGATATTTATGTTTACTAGATATATTATAATTATTTATTTATTATATAATATTTGAATATTATTATGATAATATAAAATATGATTAATACTTTAATGATAAGAGAGCTTAATAAATATATAAATAAAAATTCTAATTTATTGGAATATAAAATAATATAACTAAAATAGCATTAACTATTTTAATAATATAAAAAAGTTTTATTTATATATATAATATAATTTTATAAAAAATACATTATCACTTATAATATTTTATATATATAATTTCCTGTGTTTTTATTGTAAAATAATAACAAAGAAAAATTTAAATTACTATTATTTTAATTTAAAAAAATAAATTTTAAAAAATAATATATTTTAATAAAATAATATTTTTATTTTTCATTATTATTACAAAGCAATATCTATATTCTTATACTTATTTCGTTTAACATCAAGTTTTTTATTTAAATACTTTCTTTTTTTTGGATGTTTTTATTAAAAATTAAGCTCTTTTATATTTTCCTCATTTTATTGATTTTCATCTTATTTATCTATTTAATTTTAGCAATTTTTGCTTTTGCTTTAATTTTAAGAATTAGTACACCAATCAATAAAAGAATCTACATCGTCATCAGAGTTATTGATATTATTCTTTTATTATTCATTATTTATAAAATTTAATATAGGTTATTCTGATTATTAATCTTATTATTGTATATTATTTTCATTTTAATTATTATTATGTTTTTCCTAATCCTTATTTATTTATTCAAGATATATTTCTTTTTAATCTTTATTTATGAATTATTATAAAAATAAATAAATATTTATTATTATTTTACTTAAAATTATTGAAGATATTTATTTTTTATTTAAAAGTCTCATTATTAATGATTCTCCTACATTTTTATTTATATTTTCTTATAATTTTTAAGATGCAGAATTATCAATTTAATTTTCATTATCATATTTTTTTACATAATCATTTTATAAAAGAAGATTTATATCTTTTTTTTTTCTTAAATAAGCATTTTTTTAAATGACTTTCAAAAAATTTATATTATCCTTTCCAAATACATCCGTTTTATTTTTTAGTACAATAAACTTCTTCATCATCAAGTAATTTTTTAGCAAGAAAATCTGTCTACATTAATTAAAAATTTATTTCTTTTCTACAAATTGCACATAGCAATTTATTATTTTACATTTAATGCTGTTTTTAAGATTATAAGCATCCATTACAAAAGGTATGTCTTTTTTTAATTTTTTTAATTTTTTTAATTTTTTTTTAATTTTTAAATTTTTTTTTTTTTTTTTTTTTTTTTAAGGCTTATACCCACAATATAATCTTTTTGGATCAAAAAAAAAATTTTAACATATTATACATTCTAAATGTTTTGAAATTTTAGATATATTCACAAATTGTATTTCATTATAATTTTATAATATTTATTCCATTTATTTCGATCTATGAATTAGTTAATTTTTTGCTTTTATTATAACAAATATTTAAAAATTTTATAATAATATATAAATTAACTTTGATTTTTATTATATAAATTTAATATATTATTATTAATTATTAATCGATATTTCATATTTAAAATATTACCTTTTAATTTATTATTTTATAATTTTTTTTAATATATAATTTATTCAGTTTATTATTCTTATTGATTTAAATAAATACGATCTATTTATTTTGAGGGTTTTCTTTTTTATAAATAATTGTGTAGAACTTATTTTTTAAAGTTATTCTTTTGTTTATTCAAATAAATAAAATAATTTATTAATATAACAAAACTTAATAATAGAAATAATTCAATAAATAACTATTTTTATATTTTTTATAAATAAGTAGAGTTAGTTTTAATAAATATAAAAAACCATTAAATAATAAGGAAAACTAAATATAATATAATTTTTTTTAAAAAAATATCAATAAAAACATTTTTATATCTAAAAAATAACAATAAAATTTAAAAAAAAAAATATTATAAAAAAAGTTTATATATTACAAAAAAATATAAAATAATAAAAATATTATTTTGAAAATATTTTTTTAATTTATTATATATATATATAATAAAATTTGAATAATTTTATTTATAAAAAAAAATTGAAAATTATTAAATATTTTAAATAATTATCTTTTACAAAATTATAATATATAATTTTATTTATTATTTTAATAATATTTTTTTCTAAATAAAAGTTTATAAAATAATATATCTCTTTCTAATAAATATTTTAAACAAATTAAATTTAAAATTAATATTTATATTAATTTTCTTTAATATATTTTTAATTTTTTTGTTCTTTAATAATATAAAAAGACAATTTAGATAATTATTTTTGATTTTATTTTAATATAAGCAAACAAACATAATTTTTTTACTTTAATTATTTTTAAAATAATAATAAAAATCAACTTAATATTAAGAACCGAAAAAAAAATATAATTGAATATAAAAATATTTTACTAAATAAAAAATTATTTATTATAAAAATAAATATTAGTAAAAAATTATTATATGACTTCTAAAAACTAAGATAGTAAAAAAGTTGAAGAAGAAAAGCAAAAAAATTAATAAGAACTAAAAGTATGTGAAGAAGTTGCAAAAGTATTAGATGAAGACGATGATGAATTTGAAGAATTTTAGCAAGAGAGTATATTTAACTTATTAGTATTTTATATAATATTATAAATTAAAAATAATTAGATTGGGACGATATATAAGTTGATGAAAAAATAGATATTAAATAATGGTTTATTATATTATTATATAAATTTATGTTTGATATTAAAACTAATTATTTAATAGGAGAGAAGATTGGGATGATGAAGATATTAATGATAACTTTTGTTAAGAATTAAAAAAATAACTTGGAATTTGATAAAAATGCATTAATATAAATCATGTTAAAGAAAAATATAAATAAAACAATATTATTTTTTATATTTATGTTATATTTTTTTTAAAAAAAAAATTCTCAAAGTTATATCAAATTGTTTTCAATTAAATCATCTGTTTGGAATTAAAGATAGTTTTTGTTTTTTCTTATAATAATTATTTTTATAATTTCAAAAAAACCAGAAATAACTTTAAATACTAATTAATTTTTTAACAAAAGCTATTTTAAAATTAAAAATACTTTTTTTATTTTATTTTTTTTAGGAGAAATTGTTAATTGAAAATCAAATAATTTTAATTGTTATTTTAAAATATATATAAAAAAATAAATAAGTAAAAAGGATATGTATATATTTAAGAATATAATTATTTAAATAAATAAAAAAAACATAAATATTTAATTTTTATTTTAAATTGTTTTGATTAAAAAGTTTTAATATGCATATACTACTAAAAAAATAATTATTGATAAAACATATAATTCTATAAAATAATTTTTTCGTCTATCAGAAAATTGTTAGCATCACAAATATACTATAAAATAATAAAGTAGGATATGCAACTAAATATTTTATATGATCCTACTATATCATTTCTACAAAAAAGTTAGAGGCACTACTAGTACACCATAAAATAGTTAAAATGGCAAATATTGTTCCAAACAAGTTCCTTAATAAAAAATCAAATAATATAATTTAAAAAATATAAAGAAGTTAAAAATATAATCTTATTACTGCAAACTTATAAAAATATTAAATAATGATAAAAATATTAAAGGTATAATGCAATATCCTAGAATACTTAATGTAGTATATAAATCAATTTGAGCATTCTATTTTTATTTTATTTTAAAAATTAATATAGGAAATAAATAAATAAAATTACTCTACTTAAGAAGTTCATTATACAGTATATTCCTATAGTTCCACTAATTCCGAATCCATATATATATCCGAAATGTAATTTGCCAGACTAAAAAATAAAATAATTTGTAATAATCTAAGAAATTATATTTATTAATATATATACAAGCATTAGTAAAAATCCTAGTATAAAACCAAACAAAATAGGCCCTGCTAGATCTGTATCTTCTAAATACTGCTTATCACATTATTTAATTTTCAAAACAATTAAGATTCTTTGTTTAATGCTTTATAAATCAATACCCAAATCTATATAGATATTTTTAATATGAATTTAATATTTAAAAAAATAAAAAAATTAATAAAATAATATTTTATTAATTAATTTATACCTTCTAACAAAGGAGGTTCATTATCAGGATCAATATTATTTGGATCAAAGCTAAGAGTTTTTTATTAATATTGTTATTAATATTATTATTATTGTTAAGGTATAAATTAGTTTACATTATTCCTAGTTTAAGTTCTTTAATTTTAATGCAACTGATCATCCATTTAAAAATTTTATTAAAGAAAAATATCATCAACTTAATTGTTTATTTATTAGTTTTATTATTGCTATCCTAATTAAACATTTATTTATTTTTAATTTTAGTTGCTTTGCTTAATTGCTTTATTTTTCTAATTATCTTTTTCTAAAGAGGCGAATGTGTCAACTGTTTAAAAATAATTTTAATCAAATCCCCATGGATCATTATTTTATATTTCTGAAACATTGCTTGGATTTTGATTTATTTAAAATGGATTTTTATAAACTTTCTTTTCTTAATTTTTTTAAATATATTTTTAGAACATTTTTTATATATTATTATTATTTATTTACATTATATTGGTTTTTGTTATGTTATATTGTTCATTTTTATTTTTATAGGATATATCTATACTAAAAATTATAAAATAAAATAATATTTTGATAATAATATAAATTTTAATTTTTTAAATATAAAAAAGTTATTATCTTAATTTTTAATTATAAAATACTATTAAAATATATATTTTATTTATATTTTTTTTTTTAATATAATAATTACACTGAAGTTTTTGTTAATTTATATATATTTTATTTTATTATATTTTTATAAATTCTTAATTAAAATAAAATGGGCTTTAATTTTTTTATTACCCCATTTTTCTAGTCTTTTATTTTTTAATTAAAAATATGAACAAATATAATTTTGTTAAAAAAAGAAAAAATATTTTTATTTATTTATTTTAAATAAATTTATGTGATATATTTTAGTTTATTTTTCATATTAAATATTTCAGAACATTTATGTGAAAACATATAAATATAAATTTAATGTTGAATTTAGATAAAAATAAAAAATCTATATATATAATCTATACATTAAAAATTTTATAATTTTAATTAAATTCAAAACTATTAATAAATGCTAATAATAGCTGAAAATAATCCTCCAAAATAGGCATATTTATTATCAATATTAATTTTGAATATTTTAAAAGCTAAATCTGATCCTTTAAAACTTACCAAAATATCTCCTAATGTCCTTAATAGCCACAAAAAACATTCATTTTTTTTATTTTTTAGTTTTTATATTTCTTCCATTGCTTCAAGATTTTCTTATTCGTTTTTTAAATAAGGTAATTTTTATCTGATAAGTATTTCCGCATGATGAGTTCTCAGTAAATTTCTTGTAAATAAAAATGATCTTATTAACAATCCTACAAACATATAACTCATTGATTTTTAGAAATAAATCCATGAATTATTTTAACTATTTTTAAAGTTCAAGAATTTATATTTATGCAATATATATATATTATCGTATATATAATTTAATCCATATAAGGCTTTTATTATTATTATTACTAATCTTTCGAATTCGTCTATTTTTTTAGTATCAGTTGATTTTAGTTATATTTAATTATATATTGAATAAAACTCTGATATTGATTTAAATAATCTGCAAAATCTTCTGGCATCTGCTGATCCTTCTTTATTTTTATTTATTTTTATTATTTTTAATTTTTTTTACATGATAAAAATTATAGCTATTCTACCTTTTCCTAGTATTTTTCATATTTATTTATACTTTTCAAAAATCTTCCAATGTAAATTATAAATTTCAATATCTTGTCTCTACCTTCTATATTTTATGTTTTTTAATTTTTTGTAATTATTTTTCAATTAATTTTTATTTAGTTTTTTGTTTTTTATAAGAAAAAAATAACCTGATTTGTTTGTTAAAATTATAAATCGATTTAAAGTACTCATTTTTTATTTTCTTTTAATTATAAATTTAATTAATTTAAGATTTTTTTTATTTATTTTTTAAATATTATACAAATATTTATTATTATTATGTCTTATTAAATATATAAAATATTCATTTAATTAATTTTTTTATAATTAATAGATTTTTTAAAAGTTTATTTTTTATTAAAAATAAATAAATAAAAATAGATTTATAATATCTATAGATAAAAGTAATGTCTATATAAAAATTATTCAAACATTTTCTAATGTTTATAATAATTCATTAATAGCATTTTTTCTTTAATTAAGAAGTTCTTAAATTTCATTTTTAACATTTTAAACTTATTTATTATCCTAAAAACATAAATTTTAAGATATATTTTATTCTTTTTAAACTAATGGTTATTTAATTATACAATTTTATTCATAAAGAGAAACATAATTTTTTTTACTTAATAAAACATTAGTATTGTTTTCAAAAGAATATTATTATTCTTTTTAAAAGTTAAATTTAATATCATTTTGTTCTATATTTTAATTAAATTCTTAAACATATTAATTATGTTCTTAAAAATTTTTGTTCTCTTTAAAAATTTCTTCTTCTTCATCTTTTTCTTCTTATTATTATTTTTTAATAAAATTATTTTCCTTAAAATTAAGTTTTATACATTATTAACTATTTGATCTTTTTTTATTTGTAGTTTTTTATTAAAAAGAAGATAATTCTTATTTCAATTTATTTATAAAATCGAATATTTCCTTAAATTTACGAATTTTAAATGGAAGAGCAAATTCTTTTTTCGGTTCTTTAATATTTTTATGAATTATATAAACAAGATTTTTTAAGTCGTTTTCTAAAATTTAATTTTTTTATTTTAATTATTTATTTTCCAATTCCAATTAATATACTTTTTTTAAATATAAGTCATTATTTTATTATAATGATTCTTCTGTATTTTTTGTAATTTCTTCAATATTATTTTTATTCTTCAATGGTTATATATTCTTAATATTAACAGAAGGACTTTTAGATTAATTTTTTTGAAAAGTTTTAACTGATTAATAATGCTATAGGCAAGTATTATAATTTTATTATTATTAATTATGCTATATTTATTCATATAATTATTTATAATTAATATTTAATTACTAAATACCTTTTTTAATTAAAGGAACATACTTCTTTTCACAATTTCTACACGGGTGTTTTTTCAAGGCTTCAAATTATTAAATTGTTTCTTATAAAAGATTTTTTAATTTGATATATTATGATCTTTTTTTATCAACTAATTAATTAAAAGCTTTATTTTAGATTGCCTTTATTAAATTTTAAAGCTATTAATGTAATATCTCATATATATTTATTTCGATATTTTTTTATTTCTAACTTTATTATTCTTCTATTGTAATTTTTTATTTTTTTTGAGGAGAACATATTTAATTTTCTTCTTATTTTTTTTCTTATGCTGTCCAAGTTGTACTCATTTTTTGAAGTTCGAATTCAAATGTGTATTTTTGATTGTTTATATTAAATGTTTTCTTAAATTCCATTTCGTTTTCTTGTAAAAGTTCTTCTACAAGTAAATTAATTGTGTGAATTTTTTATTATTCTTCTAAGATTTCAATACAAAGCTTATCTTATTTGTGCAAAAATAAAGTCGTTGATTCTGAAGGTTTTATTGTTTCATCAAATTATCCATTTATATAACATTATGATTAAATTTTTTCAGAATATTTAAAGATTGTGTCTGTAAATGTTAACTTTAATATAGAATAATTATCTTTTTCAGATATTATGTCTGACATTTTTAATTTTAAACTTTATTTTTTAGGAAAACTTTTTAATATTATTATTATTAGTATTATATTGTTATTATTTTCATTTAAAAATAAAAAATTAAAATATAGTTTTTTTTTTTAATAAATTTTATTATATAATTTTTTTTATTAATATTAAATTAATATTGCTAAATATTTAATAATTATATTTTATCTAATTTTATATTTTTTTCTTTTAAATTTATAGATTAGTTTTACAATATAATAATAAAAAAAATTAAATTTATATATATATGTATATATATATACATATATATATATATATATATATATATTTTTTTTTTTTTAATAAAAATAAATATTATATAGTTAATTTTATTATTATTATATAAAAAAAAATATATATTATAAAAATGATTTAAGAAAACTTTGAAGAGTTAATCAAATATTCAGTATTAAATATATTAAATATTTAAAATTAATATTAAATAATATATTTAATAAATCATAATATAAACAGGATATTTAAGAAATAGAATAATAAGTAATAAATCTAGAAAACGAAGAATAAATACAATAATTTTATGATTTTATAATTGGATAATAATAAAATAATAGCTAATTTTAATATAACATTTTAAATTAATGGTTTTCTCAAATATTAAAAATACATGGAAGTACTTTATTTATAAAATAAGAAAATAGAAATAAACTAAAAGAATTATTTATTGATTAAAAACCTTAATAAATAGACTAATTAATTAAATTAAAAGGAAAACTTGAAATGGTTTTAAGGAGTGAAAGAAAAAGTGATTGAAATAGTAAATACAATATTTTAAATAAAATAATATGTATAATGTTTTAAAAATATATTTGATATCTTATTCACAAATTTTTAATAAATTTGAATTATTTTTTTAAATAAGATATATATATAAATAAAAATATATATAAATATATATATATATATATATTATATTTAATTTATTAATTTAAATATATACTTAAATTAATATATTTAAAATTATTATATTTTTTTTTATTATTTTTAATTAATTACATAATTAATATTTTATTTAAATTTTAAAAGCATAAATAATATTTAAAATATAACTTAAAAAATGTAATTTTCTTTATAATATTACCAAAGTATAAGTATAACTTGTTCATTTATACATATTAATTAATTTTTATGTTATTTTAATATCTTTCTATAAATAAATTTCTTTAAAAAATATATAAAAAAGATATATATTAAAAAAAAAATGTAAAATAATAAAATATTTATAAATAAATAAAATGAATATTGATTACATTAGCATTTTAATCTAAATAATTTAAATAATTTTCCAGTGATTATAAAATAGTTTTATGAATTCCATATTTTTTTATAAGACTTTATGTTTATTCTACCAACTATAAAATAATAAACTATATAAAAAAAAAACCTTAAAAATAATAAAATTTACAATTTTATCACTAGATTAATTTAAATAAGCAATAATAAAATATACATTTTCGAGAACAGATAGTCCTTCTTCTAATTTTTTCCTATAAATAATTTCATCAATATTTTCTTTTCCTTCTATTTCTACAAGAGTTTTTAAATAAGATGGATCTTGGACTTTTTTTTCCAATTTTTATAATAAATCCTAATATTCGTTATGAATTTCAAAAAGCCTTTATAAATTTTAAGAGTTTTCCCTAAATTTATTAATAAGCCTATCTTATTAAACGCTTTAAGTTTCTTTGAGAATATTTTTTATAATCGAAGAAATTTATTCATCGAATTTCAATTATTATTATTTTTCTTTTGATTTTATTCCCTTTTTTTAGAAAATCACAAATACGTATTTTAAACCTTATAAATCTACAAATTTTGAGCAATTATTCATATTATTAATTAACGCGTAACTCAAAACTCTTAAAGATATTTAAGCAACCAAAAGCTTTTTTTATTAAATCAATTTTAACATTAATTCTAAACCCTAAGCATATCTAAATTCTTCTTAATAGTTTTTTTCAACGAGAAGTAAGCATAAACAATCAACCAAATTTAATAGACTTTCTTTATCTTCTTCACAATCAGGATCTTTTTACTTGTATTCGTGAATTATTTCCAAAATGATATTCATTCCTTTCAATTTAAAAAATGTGTGTTAATTAATTTTCTATAAAAGTACTAAGGGTAGTAATTCTGTGAAATAAAGCCTATTATCATCAATTGTTTTGTGATTTATTTTAAAAGTATTAGGGTTAATTCTTTTCACTAAATAATTCAAAAATTATGTTTCATCACATAATTTTTAAGCATATTCATTTTTAAATTCTATTAAAGCTTCCAATATTCCTATTATCTTAAAAACAGCATCATAATCTTCTTCATTTTCGCTTTCGTTTAAATTGTTTGTTAGTGAATTCATTAAATAACTTAGTAAGTTTTATTCTACTAACTTTTCATAAAAATCTTCAATATTTTTTCCATATTCTTCTTTTTGAATTTCTGTAGTTATTAATTCATGCAATATGCTTATTATGTCTATTATTATATCTGTGTTTGGGTGTATTAATAATTATATTAAGTTTTGGATAGCCTTTGATTTTGTTATGATTGGAAATAATTCAGGATATGCACTTAATTAGGTAAATTTATTTACTACTTCGTCTAGTTCTAATTCAGATTATTAAAATTTTTCGGGTTTTGTAGAAAATGTACTACGCATTTCTTCATTTTTTAAAATTTTTATACTTAGTTAATTTATTAAGTGTATCAATATTTACTCATTAAAATCTAACTCTTAGTTTTTTTCATTCTTTTTTTATTTTTATTTTATTTAATTATTATTTTATTGTTTACGTCATCTATTAATTTTTTTAATTATTCAGCATTTAATTATTAATCAGAATCTGAGTCAGTTTATTTGTTTTATTAATAATTATCATATTGGTTTGTTTTTTGCTTTTTTTGTATTTAATCTTCTTAATAATCCATACGCTTATATGATTAATTAATAAATGTAATTATAATTTTATTTGTATTTTTTTATTTAATATAGAAATTGAAAATATATCTTTTTTATAATATTTTTTTATATTTTATAAGGATTTTTTAATTTTGAACTATTTAATATAAATAGGTTTATATAAAATAATAACTAAAATTTATATATATGATTTCGTAAAATGGATTTTTTTCAAACAATTAAATCAAATATTAATTTGATATAATAATATATTAAATATCAATTATAAATAATTATGCATTTATAACTATAAATTTAATATTTTTTTAATTTTTCATTCAAAAATCATCATCGAAATCGTTTGCTATAATTAGATTTACTAAAATAAGTTATATATAATATTTTTAAATTTTTATTTTTTTAACTTTTTTAAAGATTATAGCATTTATTTTTTTTAAAAATATCAGATGAATATTTGTCAATTAAATTGTTAAACTCTTTTAATGTTTCTATAAAAATTGAAATCAAAAAATCAAAATAATTATTTCATTTTTTTAAAAAAAACTAACATATTTTATCAAGACTTAATGCAAACTCATTAATATCACCTTTATTTCCTTTATTTCCTTTAACTCCTTTTTCTTAAAATTAATAATTATTTTACAAGTATTTGAAAAAAAAAAACCTAATAACTTTTATAAATCCATTTTTTTTTTTTAGAGAAAACAAAAAAATTAAAAAAAAAATATTATTATAAAATTTTGAAAAAAAGATAAATATATATATATATATATATAAAAATTTTTATAAAAAAAATCAATTTTTTCCATTATCTTCTTCTTATTCTAATACACTGATTTATTCCCATTCTGAATTCTCATTTTCCTAATGAATACGTAAATTTATTTTTATAAAATAAAAAATTTAATACCTAAAAAACAACAACTATATTATCTTAGTTTACATTTGTACCAGATACAGCAAGCATATTTCCTGTTTAAGACCAGCTGATTCTCCAAACAGGCACTCCAAATTTCTCAATTACTTAATGTTTTTTTATTTATTCATATTCAGTATAATCTTTATTAGGATATAACTTCCAAATAATAACTTTACCATCCTTAGAATTTATAAAATAACATTAATTCAATTATATTTTTAAAAGTTATAATTACTTCAGAACAACTAGCTATTGTATCATAATTGTTTCCAAAAGAAGGAGACCAGGCAACATCTCTTACCCAATTTGTATGTCCACTTAAAGTATTTAATAAAATATGTTCATATTTAAATATATCATTTTCTTATCTATAAGTTAAACTGAATATTTTTATTGTATAATCACAACTTGCAGTAGCTAATTTAGGGAAAATTTTTTATTTTTCATTAACGTTATTATTTGAAAAATCATATTTCTATATAAATTATTTATGTGTTTATTTTATTTATAATTTACATCATCATTTGAATATTATAACCAAGAAAGAGAATTTACTCCTTTTTCATGAGCTTACCAACTATATTAATTTTCAAACATTATTATAAATCCCTTATTTTTAAAATGTAAAATAAACACTTTTCCAGCTTTTTAAAAATGTATATTATTTAAAAATTTATATCTAATTATATTTTACTAGAAGTGCAAAAAGCTAAAAATAATCCATATTATTAGGGGCAAAATTTTACATAATTTATTGAGCCTTCAAATTCATATTCATAATAATTTGTCCATTAGCTTGTTTATTAATTTAATTATATTTTCTCACCAAATATTTTTACCTATTTATTTTTTAAAAGATATTTTTACTATTTTTTTTTAAAAAAATACATGTTTATCGAATGAACATGAGGCTATTAATGTCCCGAAACGGGGATGGGCCCAATCTATTTTCCATATAGGACCATTATGTCTTTTTTTATTTATTTTATATTTTCTTAATTTTTTTTATTTTACAATTAAAAATTCTAAATATTCTAATAATTCTAATTTTACAAATTTTATTAAGTTTATAATGTTATATAACTTGAATCATAGATATGAATATAGCCATCGCTTGAACATGTTGCAAGTCTTTTCCCATAGTAATCATATTGCATATCCAACTTTAGTTTTTTATTTTATGTTTAATTTTTATATAATTACAATCATTCCTTTATGTTCATTGTGCAAACTTATAGTTTTTAAAGGTTATGGTTATGATTAGATAAAAATTGCTTGCTCTTCTTACTTTATTTTTTATACTTATGTTATATCATACTAATAAAATATATATATAATACCATTATATTTTATTTATTTAATTTTTTTATATCAAATATTTATTAGGTTTCGAAAAATATTTTTTTATATTTTTATAAAAATATTAGTAAAATATATTATAATATATAATATTAATATTTTAATTAAATATAGATTTTTTTATATATATTAAAATTTTTAATTAATTTTTTTTTATTTTTTTTTTAAATAATATATAATTAATATTAATTTTATAATTATTATATTTAAATTATAATTTAATTTTATATAAAAAATACTAAATAATCAAGTATTGAATAATCAATTAAATAAAAAATTATTAATAGAAAGTATAAAAAAAAAAAGTACACCAAAAATATTTTAAATAAAAATAGATTAAATATAACTTATAAAAATCTAAGACTAATAAAAAATTTTCATAGTTTATAATTAATATTATATCGTCATATTGTATTTTATTTTTTATTTAAGAGATTTTTTGTCAAATTATATTATACTTTGATTAGAATTAAAATCATTTTTTTATATTAATTTAAAGATAAATTAAATTTAAAAAAATATTTAATATTTTAAATTTGAATGAAACAAATATCAATATTGATTAAATTTTATTATTTAATAAAAAATTTAATTTAAATTTTTGTTATCTTTATCTTTTTTTATTAAAATAAAATAAAATATAATAATTCAATATAAATCTAAAAAATTCATTGCCTATTAATTTTAATTTTATTATTGAGGTTAGACAAATTATTATTGAACATTAGTATTTTAAAATTAATTATTTTCCACCTAATTTTAGAAATTTAAGTTCATATTATTTTACTAATTAACATTTTAAGTTATGTTTTGATATAAATCTCCAGGCTATATTTACTACTATTATTGATAATTGCTTTATTATTGAGTATTCTATCCATATAAAGATAAAAGGTCTAACTATATATATCAAAATTAATATTTTATAAGTTTGTAAAAATAATATGTTAATTACTTAATTTTGCTATTATTAATTATTTTATACTTAATTATTATTATTATTATTATTATTATTATTTGTTGCTTAAACAAAATCTCCAAACAAATCTATTTCTTGGTTTTATTATTATTATTATTAATTCTACTAATTATTGCTTTATTATACGTTTACTTATTCAGCTAAATCTAATAGATCCACAACTATGAATAAAAATATATATATTTTTGTAATTAAAATGTAAAATATAAATGTAACCATTATTTTTCTATTATGTAGTTTAAATATTTTGTTATTTCTATTCACAAGAAAAATTTTTAAAATCAAATTAATTAAAATCCTAAAAATTACTATTCTATTAAGGCTAATTAAAACAAAAATCTTAAAAATCATTATTTTTTTGATTGGATTTTTATTAAGGTTAGCTTTTCCCAAAATTTGAAAAATCATTAAAATTAAAATCTTTAAGGTTTTTATTTATAGATTATTATGGTTATGATTTTTTCTAATATATTTATAATGTATTTTTTTGTTTTTATATCTTATAATGTATTTTTTGTTTTGTTTACATCTTAATTTTCGTTAGATTTTTTGTTTAAATTTAAGATAATTTTTTCGTTTTCATTTCTTTATTAAAATTTATAGATATTTACAGATGTTTTAAAAAATTTAATATAAAAAAGATTTAATTTAATGTAATTTTATGTTTGTATTTTTTTTATAAAAATGAAAGTTATTTTACTTTTTAAATTTTGATTAATCAACATTATAATCTACTCTAAATTCTGCATATTCACTTTTAATTTAAAAATTTTTAACTTTTATATAAAAAATATATTTTTATACTCTAAGTTTTTGCTTTTTTCAGTATCATTATCATATGTAAATTCTTTTTTTTATTTCACTTTTTTTTTTAAATAAAAAATTACAAAAAAAAATATCAAAACAAATAATATATAATTCAACTCAAATTATATTCATGAGAAAAAACCAAGTTATTTATTCTTAACTCATATTGTTATCCTTATTATAAAATATTACATTAATAAGAATCTAGTTAGAAAGGAAATTAAAATATTGTTTATACTGCACTAAAATAAAATAAAAAAAAAAACATTGTTTGCATTTATATTTATTTAAATACCTTTCTTATTCATGTTTAACAAATCCATCTATAGTTATCTTTCTTTTTTAAGACACAAATGATAATTCTAATATTATTGAATGTCTTTTACCATCAAGTGAAAAATCCCATATGTATTACTTTTTTGAACTAAAAAAATAAGAAATGCTTTTATTTTAAATACTTTTTAATATATTTTCCTATATCTAAAATTTAATATGTATGTATTTTTAAATTCATTTTTTTTATGATTTATATAATTTTTATGATATTAATTTTTTAAAAATTAAATTTCCGTAAAAATACTATAGGTAAATATATAAATATATATATATATATATATAAAAAAAAAATATTATAGAAAAAAATAAAATAAAAATATATAAAAACTAATATAAAATATAAATAGAACAAAAAATTTCAATATTTCTTTATTTTTCTTTTTTTATATTAATAAAAAAATATTTATGATAATAACTAGTTTCTTAAAAAATTTTAAATAGAACTTGAATAATAATAATTAAATAAAATAGTAAACAATATTAATTTTTTTCATGAAGTTTTAAATTTTTTTACGATAACATCTTAAGTATCTATTTATTTCATAAATAAATAATATAAATAATAAAATTACCATTTAATTATTCTTATTCATAATTAACCCCTTAATTAAAAAGTTTAGATTTCCCATTAGGTGAACCTTTAGGTGAAGGAGAAGTATTACCTTTTCTAATATAATCAATATCTATTTCATTTTATCCTAAAATTTCTTATCTTTTATGTGTATCAAGATTTTGTTTAACATTATTTATATTAAATAAACTAGAGTTTTGTTTAATATTTATTTCAGCGAAAACACTGTTTTTAATATCTCTAAGTAAAGTCTAAAAGGCATTGTTTTTTTCGTAGAATTAATAAATTTATTTCTAAAAAAAATAAAAGAAAATTAATAATTTTTAATAAATAAAAAATACAAAATGTAATTAAAATGTTTGATTAGATTAAACTTATCTTATGAAATTTATTATTTACGAATAAATAAGATTTCCTTTATTTTTTATTTTTCTTATTTAAAAATCTATTAAACTTTATAAAATTTAAAATAAGCTTATATTGAATTCATATTTCTATTTTTTTTATATATATATATATATAAACATATTTATATATATATATATATTTATATATATTCCTATTATTTCTATATAATATATTATTTTTTACATTAGCTTATATATAAATTATATAAAGTCCTAAAACAGCAGATTATAAATATTTAATATTCGTATGGAAAACCTTAAAAAGCTTTTGAGGAATAAAAGAGAATAAATCGAGTGAAAAATTAGGTAAATGTAATTATATTTAATCTATATATTTAATTAGAATTGAAATTATTTCTATTATTTGCATTCTTGAATGGTTTTTTAATTCTGAAAAATCTTATTCTTCAAACTAATCAATCATTTTTTATAAATAATTTTGTGAAAACATTTCAATAAATATACTATATTCTTATTCTTTTATTGAGCACTCCAGTATTGATTTAAAAAGATCACTATACTATTTTTATTTATTAATAAAAAAACAAAAAATAAATGTACGTATATTTAATGAGGAATGCATTTAGAATTAGTAATTTAATCACATATTAGTTAAAAAAATGGATATTTTTAATATTTTTATTCTCTACTTCCCATATAATTTAATAAATAATGGTGTTTTTAATTCATATACTAAATAAGAATCAAAAGAACCATTTAAGGAATTTTTTCTACTTGATTTTCGTCTAATTATTATTATTATTATTTTTTTCTTAATAAACTGTATTATTGGTTATTAATTTAATTTATTTTATCGTAATTTCTCAAAAACTAATCTAAGATTTCAAATATGGTGATATCATTAAATGCTTCATATATGTCAACTTGTGATTCAAGCTTTTTAATATTATTATTATTTATATAAAATGAAAAGAAATTATATTTTGATTTTTTACAAATATATCAATATTTTTAACTGATTAAAACATTTCAAATACAAAATTTAAGGCATAAAAATCTTTCCTATTTAATTCGTTTGCTAATTATTACATAATCTCTCTATTTATTATAACATATTATACTAAATTTCTACTTATTCTTTGACTAATCTTTATTTTTTTTAAAAAAATATTATAAATAATAATATATAAATATAATTTTTAAAAAAATACTAAGTTTATCAAATTTAATGTTTAGTCATCTAATAAATGTGCTAAGGCAGAATCTCTTAAATATTAAAGTCGAAAATTGAAATTTATATCATCTATTTTTTATTAATCTTTTATAGATGAAACCAAATAAAGTTTCGCTCTTTCCTTAAAAAATTATCTATGTGTTTCCTTTTATTTATTATAAAGTTCATCATCATCTATAAATAAATTAAAATAATTATTAATGATAAATTTATATTTTTATTTATTTATATATATATATATTTTTTTTTTATTATTATTTTTAATTTTTTTGTTAACATTCTAAAATTCCAAAAGTAAGCATGTAATTATCATCATTTAGTAAAACTTATAAAAGTTCATGTTCTGCATAAAATATTATCATTTTAAAAATTGAGCATAATTATATTAATGCATCATTGCTTTTTTCTTTTTCTGCTATATTGAATGATTCTTTAAAAAATTTAAATAATATTGCTTGCTTTAAAAATAATAAAAAAATTGTTTTTTATATTATATTTTATTACTCTAACCATTATTTCTGATGAAATTATATTTCTATCTTCAAAAGGTGTTTCCTTTTTTTAAAAAAATATTTTTATTATTATTTTTTCCTAACTTATAGCAATTTTTAAAATTAAATAAGATTTTATATTGTTGGTATTGGTAAAATAATTGCTCCTTCTTCCTCCATTTCTTCAAATTATTTTTTAAAAATTTTAAATTCATCTTCTTATTATTAATATGTAATATTATCTATTGCATCTTTTAATTATTTCCTTTTATTTATATTTATTTTGTTTATTTAAAAATATACCATAAAGCTAGCCTACCAGCTTCATTTTAAAAACTTATTGCTATATCATGCTCATTTTAATCATTTGTAATAGTAATTGCTTTATCTATTATATATTAGTTTTTTTTTTTTTTTTGAATAATAATAATAAATATATATATATATCATTATTTTATAAATATATTATATTAATTATTTTAAATTCATTAATTTTTTTACCTTTTGGATTTTCAATAATTAAATTATTGTTTAATTTTTCAGAAAATACTTCTCTTTTGCTTTTTTCATTATAAAACTTTAAAACAAAATCAGAATTCTATTTTTTTATAAAAAATATAAATAATTAGTATATCAATAACTAATTTTTTTTTTCGAATAAAACATTATTTAATTAAATTATTTTTGGATATCCGACACCCTAATCTTGCCATTAATTATCATTTTAATTCAATACAAATAATTTTGCTCTAAATATTTCAGGCATTCCTTCTAATGGATTATATTATTATGGAAAACTCATTATTTTAATTTATTTTTTTTGTTTTAATACGAAAATATATTTTTTTATTTTTACTTTTAAAATAATAAAAAAATAATATAAAATAATAGATTTATTAAAATCTAATGATTTTAAATACAAAATTAAGGCATTAAATGTATTTTTTATTTTTTATGTAAATATTATATTGATGTGTCTAAATATATACTTAATTTTATAATATTTTTTTTTTAATTTTAAAATTTAATAAAATTAAATATTAATTTTTTATTAAAATTTTTTTTTTCTATATGACGCCCATACTTGTTATTAATATTTTTTTTTTTTAATTGTAATTTATATTGTTTTAATTTTGTAAATTTTTTTAAATAATTTTTTTAATTTTATTTTTTGTATATTTCAATTCAAGGCTTTTTATTTAATTTTTTAAAAAAGTTATCTATTTAAATTATAATTAATAAATAAAATTTCATATATTATTATTTATTTTTAATCTATATATTATTAAAAGTTATAAATATTTATTATATAATATTTTATTTAAAGCCATAAATATCACTTCAGGAATAATTAAAATTTAAATATAATAAATAAGTCATATATTTTTTTTTATTTAATATTAAAATATTAATATAAAGTAAAAACCATAATAAAAATAAACTCTATAATTGAGAACATAAAATTAAATAAGAATTATTTTAATTTTAATCTAATTATTATATTTCATAAAATAAAACGTAATTAATTAAAAATCTAAATTTTTTTATATAATAAAAAATAATAATACAATATAATTTAAATTCTTTTAATTTTATATATAAATATTATTATTTAATTAATTATGAATTTCTGGCTAGAATGTATATTTTTTTTTCTGAATTTTAATTTGAAAATATTATGTTTTTAAAATGTAAATTTTTTAATGATTATAAGAATTAATTATAAAAACATTAATTTAAAGAAAAATCGATAGTAAATAAAATAAAAATATCTTCAATATTAAAATATACTGTAATTATTATTTTTTCTTAATAATATCTGACGTTTAAGATTATTTTTTTCCATTAAAAACATCGAAAATTAATTTAAATTAATATGTAAATAAAATAAAAGTTTTTAACTTTAAAACCAAAATTTTATTTATTTTTAGAAAAATTAAATAAATTAATGCAAATATAGCAAAAATTATGAGTATTAACTAAAATAAAATTAAATTGTATACATATATTTAATAAACTAAAGTATACTTATATTTAATAAAATAAATGAATATATACTAACTAAAATATATATTTATAAAATTCATTTAGAAAGTAAGGCTTTAAATTCATCATAAGATATAGACCCACTTTTATCATGATCTATTTCATGAATAAGTCTTTCAATATCAATTGTCATATTAAACTCATCTCTAACAATTTAAATTAATTTAGCAGTGTCTACATTACCACTTTTGTCTGTATATCCTCCCATGGCAATAAATGCTTCCACTTTATTTATTATATATATAAAATATTATTTAAAATAAATATATATATATATATATATATATATAATATAGATTATATGTATCATCGTTTTCAGTTTATTTTCAAGTTACTTATAATAAGCAATTGCTTTAAGAAAGTCTTAATAATCTTTAAATTAAAATAAAAGTAATAACATGAATTAATAATAATTAATTAATATATATTATTTATTTTATTTAATTTATATTTTAATTGAATTATCAATATGATAATTTCTTTTAATTTTTAAATTAAGATTAAAATTTTATATTACAATTTATATTCCTAGTATTAATTAATTATACCTATGTAACCTTTGTTCGTTTTATCGACTTCGCTTATCATTTTATATAATTCTTCGTTTGTGGGTTTTTCCCCTAATTCTATTTAATTTATTTAGTTATTTTTATTATTTTAAGTATTTTAAGTTATTATTTACCTTCTAATACTTTTTGTAATTCTTCGGCTTCTAAAGTACCGTAACCTATTTTATCATAAGCATCAAACGATTCTTTACATGATCTTTTTTCTTCTTCGGTTAATATTTCATCAACTTTGATTTTATCCATTATTATTTTTTTATTTTAATATTTTATTTAATTATAATATAAAATTTTATTAACAAATATTAATATTTTTTTATATAAAATAACATTAAAATAATAATTAAAAAAAATAAAATATTAAATAATAACTCTAAAAATAAATATATATATAATAAAAATAAAAAAATATTTAAAGATATAGAAATCTAAAAGTATTATAAATTAATAAATAAAGTAAATTAAAATTATGAAAAATAAAATGAAATTAATATTTAAAAAAAGCATTTTTAATATAATTTAATTATAAATAATTTCCAATTTTTTTTTATATTTTTATTGCTATTTTTGTTTAATAATAATATAATTATTTTAAAATATTAATAATATATTATTTACGGTGAAACATATATTCATTAAATGTCTTAAATTAATTATTTTAATAATATTTATAATATATTATATATAAATAATTTAATTTTAAAATAATAGTAAATATTTTAATACGACTTTCTTTTTATTTTTTTGATAAATTGATTAGAATGTTATTTGAAATACGTTTAGTTTAAAACATATTCAAAAATTAGAAAATAATAACAATTATCTATTTTTATATTTTACATTAAATTAAACAAAATATATAATACTTATTTGTTTTTTTACTTTAATATAAAAATATAATTAAATATTTTAGATTTTTATTTTTTATTCAATTATAATTAATTAATATTGAAAATATTGAAGTAGAAATATATATTTCTTATAGAACTATATTATTTTATTTCTTATTTTTAAATTTTATTTGTATATAAGATATAATATAATTTTATTATTAAATGAGATTTATTTTATTATTTATGCATGAAAAATATCTAAATTAGAAAAATTAAAAAAAATAATATTTATTTCGAATAATTAATAAACATAAATAATAAATAAGTAATGTTTTATTAATTATATTCAAATTTTAGTTTATTTATTTTATTAATAAAAATCATATAATATAAGTGATTGCTTTAAAAGAAAAAAATTTAAAGAATAATATAAAATTTCAATAATTTATCAAAATAAAAAAAAAAATTAATAACAACAAAAGAGTTAATTATATAAAAAGAAAGTCTAGAAGAATATATATTTAATAAAGGCGAATTCATATGTATTAAGTAATTTTTTTTTTTAATTAAAATAACAATAGTTTGAAATAAAAAATCTTAATAGCAATGCATAGTTTAAACTTAAGTTTTATAAGTAAATTTGGATAATTAATATTAAAAAACTAGTATAGACAGTTAAATAATTAAGTAATAAATAAAGAGATGTTTAAAACATTAATGATGTCAATAAAACTATTCTACATATAAAAAACTTGTTTGTAAATAATATTATTTAAAAAAAGAATCATATAGTAAAATTAAAAATGTTCTATTAAAAAATAATTATTAATTATGAAAATAGCTCTAAATAATAAGAATATTTAAATAATTGCATTATTTGTATTTATTAAATGTTAGATTCTATATGTTTGTAATTTAGTCAACTTATTTTTAATAAACTTATTCTATTATGGTTATAATATATGTGCGCATTTTTTTTTTTTTAAATAAGTGAAAAACATGAATATCTTTTTTTAAAAAAAGAAGGAATAAAAATAACAAATCACATTTTCAGATAAAAACTAGAAAAAATAAATAAAAAATAAACCAATATTTAATAAAATAAGTTTAATATTTATAAAATTATGAAAAAATTTTAAGTGTATTTATATTTATAAATAAAAAATGAAAAAATATATATTATTATTAAATTTATGAAAAAAAAAAAAAAAAAAAAAAAAATATTTTATAAAGTAAATATTTTTAATTTGAATTTTGTTTGTTTGTTTAATAATAATCACATAGGAAAATTCAAAAAATAATCTGAAAATTTTCACAAGTTATTCAAAAAGGAATTAAATTAATTATTTTAATCATTAAAACAATTAACTTAAAAATTAAAATTAATAAAATTAAGTTCTAAACTTTCCTCAAATTCTTCTTAAAAATTATTATTTTAATCTATTTCTTCTATCTACATACTATTATAATCCTTATTATCTTTAAATTAGTAATTTTAATTGAAAAAATTATAGAAAAAATCTAATTCCTATTAAAATATAGGCGAAAATTTTTTAAATTTATTATTTTGTGCAATTAATGAATCTTAAAAAGTGAATTAAGAATCGAACTTTTATTAAAATTTTTCATAAAGGCATATTTCTTTTGAAAAATTTAAAGAAAACATATAAAAAATAGCTTTAAATAATCTTTTTTTTTTTTCACATTTATTCTTTTAGAGAAAACTTTTTATTTTTTTAATAAAAAATTTAATATTTTATTTATTTTTTATTTTATTTTCCCCTAAAAGTGATAGTTTTTTCAAAAAATCATCATTTTCTTCTAAATTCATTAAATATATTTCCATTTTTTAATCTATTTTTTTACTTAAATTTCTTTCAATTTATAAAAAGAAGATTTTTTGTAATTTTTTTTAGGTTTTTTCATTAAAAATCCTCTACAAAAATACTTAATCGTTTTCTATAAATTATATATAATTTATAGAATCGTTCAGGAATGTTTTTTAATGAAAAATATAATATTTTTAGGTTGTTTCTAATAATATTTTTTCTAGTTTAAGATAAGGAAAATTTAATTAGACTTCAGAATGTCCTAAGTAATGTACCGTGATTTCATTTATAGATAAATCAGTTATATTTTATACAAAACATTATAAAAGATTATCAGTTTCAGATAAATTTTTACTAAAGAAAGGATGAAAAGTTTCGAAAAGTTCAAAAGATTTGAATTATTTGTTTTTAGAAAAATTATTAAAATCAAGAAAATCAGATGAGATTTTTTAAAAAAGGATTTAATTTCTTCTTTCTTGGAGAATTTGTATAAAGGCAGTGAAAATTTAATTAAAGAATTTTTTTTTAAAAAAAATTTTTTTGATCCAGTAAAAAAGTGCAAATTTCGAAATTGAAAAGTCTTTTTGTTCTAAAAAAAAAACATTTTGGAAAAACTCGAAAATCGGGGAAAATTATAAATTTAATTAAGTAAAATAATCCACAAAAGAATTCCATAAAAAATTGTATTCATTTAATAGATCAAATGCATTTTTTTTATCTTCTATTTTTTTTAAATTCTAGACATGCTTTATTAAGTATTTTTGCATTGTTTTAGTTTATATTTTTATTTGTTTGAGAATTTCCTATACTAGTTTTAGAAGAAATACTTAGCTTTTATTTTTAGGAATTATTTATTATTTTTTTAATAAAAAGGGGATTTATATTAGCTATTTTTCATTTATATTTTCTTTTTAGCCTTTATTGTAAAAATTTTATATATTTTTTTAAATAAGACTTAGTAAAGAATTTTATGGAGTCTTAATATTATTTTTTGAATATGTATCTATTAGGAAATTTTAATAGGCCGTTTTGCAATATTTTCCTTGGTTTTATTTTCTTAAATTTAATGGAGGTAAATGAGGATTTCTTATTAAGTTTTAAATTTGATTTGTTATTTTTTTTGATTCTATATCAGGGTTAGGGTTACCGAAATATTCAAAAATAGATTTTAGAATATTATAAAAAGAGTTTGTAAAATATTTATATTTAGTAAGTATTTTTTAATAATTTATTTCGGATTTTATTTGGTTGTCTTTTTTTCGTTTTTCTTCAAGAAAAAGTTTATCTTGATATATACATTAATCTTAATTGTAAGGCAAATATTATGGAAAATATGTTCGTAATATTTAATTTGATATTAATAGTTTATTTTTATCTATAAACATTTTTAAAAATTTATTTACTTTTCGCAATACTTCGATTTCTGACGGAATAAGGAAATCAAAAATATTTGTTAATAAGTTTGAAGGAAGAATTTAAAAAATTAGTTATTGATTCTAGAACATTTTTTATATTAATTTATTATTTTTTTATTTATTTTTTATTTTATTTTAATAAAGTGTTCTTTTAATTTAGTTTTTTTGTTTTATTAAATGCGGATTAAATCTAACTAGAATTTTTCTATTTTAATTTTTATTTTTTTATATAGGAAATAATATTCTTAATATTTAACTTTATTCTAATTTAAAAAAAAAAAAATATAATAATATTTGTTGATTTAATATATATAAATAAATAATATTAATTTAAAAAAAAAATATTTATATTTATATAAAAATAAATTAAATTATCTTATAATATAAATATAAATTATTTATAAAAAATGATTATAAATAACATTGTTGTCTATAGTATAAAAAAAATCTATTTTAAAATGATATTTTGTATATTAATTATATTAATGAATTTAAAATTTATATATAAATTTTTATCAAAAATATAATAATAGAAAAAAAAAATGTATAACACTTTTTTTATAATTAATTCTTTAAAAAATTCTAAAAGATAATATATATATATAAAAAATTAATATATAATAAAATAATATAAAAAAATAAATAAGGTTTTTGAAATATGATTCTTTTAAATATATAAATGATAAAATTAAATTTTAAAATTAAAAATAATTATTTAGATTAATAAATATATACTAAGTGTTTATATAAAAGTAATTTAAATATATAAAAATTTATAAAAATATAAATATATAAATAAATAAATATATTAATATATAAATATATATATATTATATATTTTTATATATAAATTTTTATATTTTATATATATAAATTTTATATATTTTAGATTATTTTTTATTATATATTTTTGAATTATTTATTTATATTTTTTTTTTTTATTATATTTTTATATCTATTTATTATTTTTTTTTTTT